GAACAATGGCCTGTGTATCGAGGTGTATGCAATCTAATCAGACTGGTCGTCGTAGGAGATGTTCAGCGAGGCGTGCTCAATCTTGATCCGGCGTGAGTGCATGTTGAACACACGTCTGCTTTTGTAGATACACATATATAGGTATGGTTAATATATATTGACTTCAGTTTGTTATATAGATATGGAAAATTAAAAAAAAACCTCTTTGTATTTTTTGTTCTCGTCACAGTAAATATTTAAAATGAGACTGATAAGTTGCAAAAACACGGTAGATGTATGAAAGTGTCAAACACAATGGTCGTTTAGGCGTGCGAGTGACTCCATTGTTTTTCAAGAGTATACCTTTTCGAACAAGTTATCAGATATCAACAAGGTGTCTCTGCGATCGTTTATTATCGGAAGTTGCATTATAAATCCATGGGTTGTTTTCTTTCAGTTTTCTCGTGTGTAAACCATTAGAGAAGGCAATGTACTCTGTTTCAGTGGCTTCCGGCCGGTTTGTTTCAGCTTTACCCTTTGTTTCATCCATATCGATGGTATACGATCTGGGTTACGATGCAAACCTTCATAGGGTCTTTCATAAGCAAAATGAAGGGGTTATTTTCACGAACCACAACGCATGTAATGTGTGTATAAAGAGGCAGGTCTTGATGGACGAATACATTGACTGACTATTTTTTGATGGGTTTGGGCTTGGGCTTAGAAAATTTGCATGCGGGCTCACATAGGAGTTGAAATCATTTGTATGGTCAAAGTGTTGTGCCATCAACACGGTTTGATACAGTGCATCCAAAGTTGGCTTTACTAGTATTCTAAAGTCGGGGAAATTATATATAATATCGTTTGTTCATTGTAGTAGGTTTTGAGCCAAGAGTATGGCCTTCAAGTATCTGTAAATTTGTCCTATCAAACGACGAACTTGTTGGTGGTAGACGATCTTACGGGTTCATGTGATGAATAAGAATGTAGTCATGGAGTGGAAGACTCCAGATTCAGACTGGTGTCCATGGTATGCAATAATGATCAAAGATGGCCAGATTTTATTACTCATCTTTCCACCTGTAATAGTAATAGTGATAGATAGTATGGTGAATTTATCCGCAACGCAACCATGTAAACTTAATGTATCGCACAGGGTCATCTGTGCGTTCAAGCAACCACAGATTTCGTCATTTCATAATGTATTTTTATTCAAATAACTAGATTATGTTGTTAATTTTGTTCTGTTTTTAATTTTGATTCGCCACGTCCGACTGCGTTACACTGTACGTTGACTGCACGCTGAGATGTTATCCCAGGTCATAGTGAGTTTAATCACATAGTTGATAGTTTCTGGATAGACCGTCAGTGCATAATGTTGCTGAAGAAAGGTTTGTTGTACTACAAACTATGTTTCTATGAACAATTGACAGTTGACTTCAGTCAGAAAGCGATATATATTCTTTCACACCAACATATAGAACATTACATTAACTGCGGCATTTTAGCACACTAAAACATTAAATTACATAGCTACACAAAAGAAATAGCTGAAAGAATCACAGAACGAAGAAAGCCGACCGCCATTGCTTACAAAGGTGGTGGGTATAATAATTCCCGCCCCATTCTGATTAGTTGCTAAGCTGAAGGGCACATTTACGAAACTGAGTTGCGTTTAACTGCAACCTAGATAGTACTTATGAACACCATGTGAAACGGTTCACACACGTTGAGTTACGACTATCCATTATTCAGTATGTTGAGTTTCGTGTACGTCAAAACTCTGTTCGCCACACGGTTGGCAAGCCTCTAAATCTCAAAATAAAATGCTAAAAAGCTAGATGAATGGTTACAAATCACTTTTATTGTTTAAGGTCGTGAATCGCTTATGATACAATCAAAAAACAATGACTCAGCAAATACTTATAAGAAGGTCTGTATATAGCAATGTTCGAGATAAAGGTGAGTAGGAAATATTTGATCAACTGATTTTGATTTATAAAGACCAGTAATCACTGGGCCAAAAGATAGAGTATAGTCAGTACTAAGTATCAATACCATAAAGTAACTGTTCGACCATCATATATATCAGTAGTGAGATGTGGCTAGCAAAGTTTGTATTGGTTCTGTCTCAACGCGCGAACCTTGAAGGTTATAGATTTTCAAACGTGGTTTTATTTCGTTTTCTTATTAGTTATTTCCTCTACTTAACAATATTTATTAGCGAAAAGTACCTTATTTCTGACAGGGTTTCTACTAATTGAAATTATGCCCAGGCAATAAAAAAACCTACAGTATCTCTTGATGCCTATAGCGCCTGCAAAAGATCTAAATTCACCACTAAAGCGAATAACATGAGGCATTATAATCACACTGAACAGTCTGTATCGTACTCTGGCCTTCCTACAGCCATGCTAGACGTGCAAAATGTACTTATGTATGACACGTCACTATTTCGCATCTTGCTTATACATATAAATTAATGTAGCCACAAACATTTTGAATCGATATCACTTGGTCACATGTTGCGTTGGCGAGATATAGATTGGAATAAAGCATGTTTCCTGCACGATCGTGTTGGTGCGCGCTGATCGGCTGTTTCGTATATAATTAACGCAAGTTGATATTTGGAGAGAACTTTAGAATCCTTTCATGCAAAAACTGTGAATATACAAACGTTTTTCTTACTGTGCTTCTTACTTCCATCTACCTCTTTCATTTGGAATATAATTTCTTGCCTGCTCAACCGTGTTCTGATTTGGGGACTTGTCAATAGGAATGGCTGGATCGTAATAAGAGAAATCACAACATTTTGTATATAGTTTTCAGACAGAGTGGTTGACCTCAGACACCCAGCAAATCCGCAATCGGCCACTCTGCGAAGTGACCCACGGTTTGCATATAAGTCCGCCTACAATAGCCAGCCCAGTGATGCAGATTTTTGCTACTTACCCAGACATATGCTCCATCCCTCAACTAAGTATGCACAAGGCGACCAGCCGATAGACACTTGCAACAAGTCTGTATGAAACTATGTCGACCCTATCAATTTTGATACAAACCACCAATGGTATTTCTAAGAGCAATCAAATAGAACTTAGCCTCATGCAAACTATTCAAGACTTACCACCGTCGAAATATCTAATATGTGTTCCGGAAAATCCTGACCTCGAAATTCCAAAAAACACTGAAAAAGTAATCGACCATATATCATCTGAAGTATCAAAAAGACTACAGTGTATGCAGAATACTATTATGTGTGATATACCTGATAGTGTGAACCTAAAGTTTGTTAGAAATACTCCACCACAAGAGTGTGAATTGTCGCAAACTTGGTGTATCACAAGTACATTATATAAATTACAGACTAAAGCTTCCTGTCCCATTCTCTTTCAGTTTGGTAGTATCACAGAAACTATTCACCTTGATATTCAGTCGTTCCTGAGTAATTTTCTAACATTTGAAAAGATTAGAATCATCCATGATAGGACTAATATTCGATGACGAATCTTTAGTTAACTGCAAACCAATCAACCAAACCCACGTACTAGAAACAAATACAACGTTGGTCACTGCACAAACCCTAAAACACCATTCCCTATCCCTTTCAAAAACGAAGGCATGATGCATGTTGCCACTAGTCTTAAGAACAAGATTGCATATAAAGCACCCTTATCCATTCATTCTAAGCCCAAACATTTAACTACTCCCCAATCTCAATCCATTTATGCCTCTATAATGCACCATCATTGCCTTAGCGTCTCCGATATAAATCCCGAGAGCCGAAAAATGATCCTCACAGCAATTGCTCCGAGGGTCTCTTTTTTCCTCATTATTGTTTTTTGATTACTTCTATTTTATTCTTCGCACCCATCATTTCTGATTCGTTTATCGTAATTACCTTGATAACACCCCCTTTATCACATATTTTATTCGCACAACAATATTATTATTACTATTATGATTATTATCTCAATTTTCACAGATTTAAATCATGAGTCAGTTGAAGCTGGACCACCATTGAAAACCTGGAAGCACTGGACGGCCGTTTCGTCCTAGTATGGGACTCCCCAGCGGTGCGCGTCCACGACCCCGCACCACGCGGGGCTCGAACCCAGGACCTGCTGGCTTCGCGCGCGAGCACTTGACCATTAGACCACTGAGCCGGCATCCAATGGTGTTAATGTCTAACTTCAACCAATCCACGAAGTTGCGCCACCATATACCATTGTCTTCAGTGAGCTGATATCTCACAACAGACCTGGTTGTATGCCGGCTCAGTGTTCTTATGGTTAAGTGCTCGCGCGCGAAGCCAGTAGGTCTTGGGTTCGAGCCCCGCGTGGTGCGGGATCGTGGATGCGCACTGCTGAGGAGTCCCATACTAGGACGAAACGGCCGTCCAGTGCTTCCAGGTTTTCAATGGTGGTCTAGCTTCAACTGACTCATGATTTAAATCTGTGAAAATTTCTAAAATCTCCACAAACTCCTTCTGATTATAATTACTTATCATCATTATACACAGATAATAAAAGACACATTTATATCCATTTCGAATTCCTACTATTATTTAAATGTAAATGTTTGCATTAATTAGCGGTTCATGGATACTATTCTATTTCAATTTTTGAAGCGTTACGTATCGGGCTGATCATTATGTTTGAAAATTGACTAATCACCGTCTTATTGGTATAGACTTTCTACTCATTTTAAAACATCTACATTAGTCTACATGTAGATTAATATCAAGACTGCAGTTTTGATGAAAAAGATATAATTTGTTGCTCAACCTGTCTTTTAGTGTGTAAACTATGCTTACCTAACAAACTAGTGGAAAAAGAACTGGGAGTACTGTATACGGCACACTCATTGATTAATTTTCTCTCCAACCGCGTATATGAGTATTTGTAAAATTTACAGGAGTTAGATTTATCTCCAAGCTGGAAGAAGTGAACAGTTTATGTTATTCACAATGATCCCTGATATTTCAAAATCAGACAAGACAATCAATAAAACCTACAAAGGTCGAAACCAGTGTTTTATTACGTAAATAGTAAAGGCGGTTGACTCAAGTGTGTCATTTCTACCTGTTCCGTGCTAATGTTTTATGGGAAGTAGTATTAGTTGTATCACAGAGATAGATATGGCTAATAAATTATTACCTGCTGCTGTCATAGCTTCTCGCTCAAAACATTCTGCTACAGTAAGTTATGCTGTCACATGTTATTGACTCTTCATTATATATAACAAAATCATGTAATAAGATTCCTTTTGCAGTTGATGAGAATCATCCACAGTTCACTCATGTTTTGACGATTCTTTTTCAAAGGAATTTGTCTTTATGACCTAGGTCGAACTTCCTCATTAGATTTTTGTCTCAACCAATGATTTGAGGATAGTTTCTGTAGCTTTTGTCTTTCCTCCTCAACCCGCATTTCGGTTACAAAATCTCGCCGTGAGCGGCCCTGCAGTACACTCTCTAATCGAAATCCGGACATCTCGTAATTCAATTTGATGGATTATTGCATCCACTTATGAATCGCACTAACCTGAAACTCGAGTAAGGCAGTGCAGTTCCGCTAACTGTTACGTCAGTCCATACCATTTTATTACAACCTTTCACTTATAAGGTGAAAGATTAAGTAATGCAATACGACAAGACGTGTTCAGAAGCTACTCAAGGTGTACAGAATAGTTTTTGAATAATGGGGACTCATAATGTAAATTGAAAGATTTTTGCTTCATGTACAACTTAGAAGGTTGTACGTACTTTAGTAGCTGACTGCAGTGAGTTTCAAGGTTTCATCAAAAATATTGTGAAAACTAAAACTATTTTACTGCGTAAGCAGTAAATAGTAAAGCTTTCCGGGTAAAGTGAAAGAACGGTAGCAAGAACATAACTGCACTGCGAAGTTTCTCGTCACATATGATCTCTTCCCTATTGTACTTTGCATCAAATACCACTTATCATACTTATTTACTTATATATTTTTCAGTTGATTTTCTTACATGGATTGGGTGACACAGGGTAAGTTTCCCTAATTTAAAGGGTTGACTCGATAAGGCATGGTTGGTCGGACACTTTAAAGGAATATGTTCCGGACTACTTCAAGATTATATGCCCTCATGCGTAAGTTCATATCGCTTGGTTTGTACATTTCGTACAGGAATTCAATACCAGTCACACTCAATGGAGGGATGTGCATGCCAGCATGGTTTGTTGTGGTTTGTTTTTCGATTATTTGATGACAAGGTATGACATATATGCTCTAAGTGAAAACGCTAAACAAGATGAAGCAGGAATAAAGGAAGCATCGCTCGAATGTACATTCCATTTATTTTGCTCTTATTATATTTTAAATAAAGTAGGAAAATTCGTTGATGCAGAAATAAAATCCGGAGTCCCCATCGAGAATATAGTTATCGGAGGTTTTTCACAAGGTGGTTCCGTGGCCCTCTATAATGCACTAACGAGCACTTTACGGTATGGTGGAGTTGTTGCTTTCAGTTGTTGGCTTCCACTTCATACAAAATTTATGTCCTCACCTACAGTATGTTTTTTTTTACAAATTATTATTGCTTAGCTCTTGACTATGCCCAAGGACGTTCCAGTTTTCCAGTGTCATGGATTGGAGGATTATACAATTCCTTTTGCCATGGGAAAGTTAACTCATGAGCTTCTAAAAACTTTCCAGTTATCCAGATGTGAACTCAACTGTTATCCTCAATTATCTCACTCGTCATGTGAAAAGGTAAACTGGTAGTAGTGATTATTTTTACCGAATTGCATTTCAGGAAATGGGAGATCTCCGAACATTCTTGTCAAAAAACATACCTGGTACACAATAAATTTGTGTGTGTTAAGTGTTACTAGTACGTCGTTGCCTAAATGATATATATGTTTTGGAAGAATGAGTCCTAGTTCTGAATTTTCCTCCTTACTTCCAATGTACTATTTCCTGGCATATGTTTGATATGTGTTTTATGACCCCATTACATGGGTTTTTCATACTCTTGATGTTTACAGCTCTGTTATAAAAAAACCGTTACTAGGTATCATTTATGTATGTCTTACATACTTCCTTTAATTAACTAAAATATAACTTTTAATGCTAAGTTTTTTAGTAGCTATTGCCAATTTTCGTGTCTACGAGTCCCATATTTTTCGATCATAACGATGTGTTGTTCTATAAGTTTGTAACATAAATTCATACCTTGTGATCCAATTAGGTTGTGTTGCATTTGTTAGTTGTGCATTTCTGAGCTGATCATGTTCTGAATGGAGTGTCCAACATTAAGCGGTTTCTATTTAAGTTCCTCTCATACTACGTATATCCGACGTGTCAAGATTTCATTTATCTTATTTGCAAGTCCGAACTCTCTTCACAGAGGTGAAAGGCAGAAGCCAGTTTTCAAACATTGAAACCGTAAACAATAACTCAGGTTTTACCTAAGCCAATCAAAAACTTCTTATTGGATTTGCTGATATCTATGTAGTGGGTTTCTTATTGATACTTACTGACCAACGACTGCCGTAAATTATCGACTATTTAGCAGAAGGTTAAACAACAGAAATTATCATTCTAGCTAGTTATTGGTAAAAATCTATGTACGTAAAAATTTTCCGATATTAGTTTTCGAGCACTGATTTGTTAGTAAATAGTTATGAGGAATTTCCAATACAAGTTGCTGATCAACGACGGATTTAATTACTAGGTTTTAAGGAACTTGTATCATATTGCATCTATTAATGTAACGTAAACATTCAATCAGTCACACCGTAGAACCTATACGTATGTACATCGGTTCAAGTTACTATGCCCAATTAGTTGTCAGGCCAAATCCCAGAATGGTAGAGTTAGTAACAGTATCAACGGTAATAGGAAAGACTAGGCATAAAAGATACAACTCATGAAATATTAATTAGTGAAATAAGAACGAAATAATGTTATAGAAAATTTAGTCCCAGCATTTGAAAGAAAAAAAGGACGCATCTGCACCATTGCAAACGATCTTAAGCCAAGTGATGCAAAGTATTTAACCATCAGTTACGATAATAACCCGAACACCAACAAGGCAATCTGTACTTATTAACATGTCAGTTGTCAGTCACTTCATGGACTGATGCAATGCTCTGATTTGGCCACTCCCAGCTTTCTTCCACTCTACTATTGCACCAAAAAAGACCCATCGAGGTAGGCAGTAGTCGGGCTCAGGTAACACACTCCCTAATCAACTCAGTTGAAGATTTCCTACCTCATCAATCGATTTACCGTATTTGCTTAGTACTCTATTCCTAATCCAGACATCGCTCACTCCGTGGTCCCGAAATGAATGAGTGGTGCTTCGTAGACACCTGTGATCGAATACCAGTAATCTACAAATATTCCCTACTCCTTATGGCCGTGTTTCACATCCGTAGAGTAGGACGGAGCAAACTGCTGCACAGTAAACTCATCATTTGGTTGAAAGATATGTCGCTTACACCACAAGTGATGCATGCCAGTCGAACCTACCGAATCAGTGTCGAGATTTCGCCAGACACTAGACTATCAGTACTTACGAGACTCAAGACAAGTAAAACGGTCGGTCTGTTCAATCTCTATCATTAATCCATGCGATGACACAAGCCAATCCTGAAGGTAACGCCTTACATTTGGGGGAAGAGAACCGCATCCTAAATTGCTTGCATTGTTGCTTAAAGAGGTGAAAAGACTACATTTTGTCAGCGTGTTCAGCAAACAGAACCATATCATCTAAGTCAATAAGTGTCCTGGTAGAAAATCAGTCCCTGAAAGGTCAAACGATAAAAGTGTTATCTCCAAAATTGAAATTGGGGAAAACGGACAACCATGAGGCACACCACTTGATGTAATCAATCCTAACAACAGTCCGCCATAAGTTCTGGCTCAATCAGTAGTATTCGATTAGAAAGCTTGTACATGGTTGATGTGCTTCGTCAGTACGTCTTTCAATGACAGACACTGTCACAGAACCTCGATCAACGGAGTAAAATACTGCCTTAAGGTCAAGGGATACAACTATGGTTAGATATCGGAAGATGTCTGTTGCAGAATTTGTTAGAGGGTAAGTATTTGGTCCATGCATCCTCGTCCAAGTTTGACGACGGCCTGGTTTCCTCGGGTTTGCTCTTCATAAGCTCTAGTTAGATATGGAAGTATTATTGAGGCTAATATTTCAGACGCTATATTTAAACTGGTTCCTCTGTGGTTGTCACAAGAGGATTTTACCATTTGTTGTTAATTAAGACGATTAGCGATCGATATCAATCAGATGAGATCACATGCAGTTCTCAGATTTTAGCTAAGATTTCAGATAATCTAACTGCTAAAACCGGATCACCATCCTTAAAAATCTCATGGGTTTGTCCATCAGACACTGCTTCCCTCCCTCGCTTAGGTTAACTTATAAAATTTTCAATCTGACTAAGATTTGAAGGACTTACAATAGTACACTATTCAGGTTGCTTGAAGATAGTGGGTAACTGAAGGGTGGTTGATCTGTTCCCTAAAGTGTTCTGTCGTGAGAGTGAATACAAGTTTGATCTTTTTCCGAGATAGTTTCATTGACGGCCGAATTCTTAGTATCCGTTTCCTCGATAAGTCTGAACAGTTGTCTTCTGTCACCTACCGTTACTGCCTTTTCCATCTTTTCTGCTTTCGCTACTCATCACTGATAACGATCACTACGTAGGTTTTTTGTCAGGCTACGTTTAAGCTGCCTTCGCCCCTCACCGTGTTCGGACCCAGAGGGGATGATTTTCCGAGCATCTATTCCCGACCGTTGTTGCCACCATGACGTGGTGGTCGGGCTTGCCTATCGTGATGAACCAATAGAGCTATACTGACTAGGACAATCGTTCCTCAAGGTCCTGACAGGTCGGCTGAAGAACGGTAAGACTGAAAGCATCAAACCCAAAGGTCCGAAGGTGAAGTTGTACTGCTGACTGTACAGAGGTGTGGCGGCAGTAATGTGTTTCCTTCAGAAAACAGGCATGACAGCGATACTGCCTTCGCAAAAGGAGCGCTTGGGTTATAGAAGGTCGACCTTAAAAATGCACACCTCGCCTTACCCCACGGATTTCTGTCTCCGGCGGTAAGGTCTCAACAAGTACGGAGCTAACACAGAAATTACCGACAAAAAGGTCGTGTGTAACCGACCTCAAGCAGTTGTCCCTTGGGCACTGCGGTCACGCTCTCAGGTCACTAAGACCACCTCTAATCCAATTTCCTTTTCATGTGTATCCAGAAGAACCCTTCCACGGTGTGGGCAACCGGGAAGTGATAACCGCCCTCATACTTCTAACAGCACTCAAGGCCACTATTCATAATCAACCTCCCTCTTCAATTTCTATTATTCCTCCTACATCGACTTTCAACGCTAAACTTCCTCTTTCGGCTCCCCCCTCAAGTGTCACTATAGCCAACGATTTTAATGCGCGAAACACTGTCTCAGGTCTACTGAAACTTCGTTACAAACTGCACATTGGAGCCTTCAATGTACGCACCCTGTGTCAAATGGGCCAACAGGCCTCCTTGGTTAAAAACAAAATCTTGTGCCATTGATGTATGCTGTGTCTCAGAAACACATACAGGATCCTATTGTGGTTACTCACTTGACCTCACCTCGCCAAAACTAAGGATCAATGAGATACACCCTCCATGTACCTGGCGACTCGATGCCTGATTCTCGTGGACTGGCAGGTGTAAGCAAAGCACTAGGCGCGAGGGCAAAACAAGCACTATTACAGTGAATCCTCGTTAACAGTCACCTGTTTGCTGTTCGGCCGAACGACTCTAAGAATTCGAAAGGATCGGGACACAAGTCGCCTTTCTGTCTACGCTCCCAGTGTCTGCAGCTCGGATGAAGTGAAAGAAGACTTTTACAGAAAGATTCCTGAACTTCAGAAAATTAAACGTTCAGACATAATACTCGTAACAGATAACCTTAATGCCGAATTAGGTAGCTTAAACCAAACAGAAAAACATTTAGGTAGGAATTTTGGCATTCTGGGGTAGCGAACAGATAATGGTGATCGTCTATTGTAACTGTTCTCAGATAATCGTTTATTTTTAGCGACCACTAATTCCAAGCATAAGGAGAGATATCGTCTAACATGGCGACCCCCTCACCAAACCATTGATTGACTCAAATAAACCATATTACTATCAGTCATCCTTGGAGAGGCTCGATAGAACACTGTCACTCATTCTGGAATACCTGCTTGGGCTGTGATCATGCTTTAATACGGGCACGCATTTGCTTGCACCTCACTGGGCGCCGAAAAGCTATATTAAAAAGACCCATTAGAACTGAATTGGGTAACGAGAAAACCAAAAATAGGTTCCAGCAACAACTGAGGTCACACTTAGGTAGTTGACCAAGATGTTTTTTGAGAGGATATACAAGCAGCTGTAGAAACAGCAGCGACATCTATTAGTGATTTAAACCAAAGCGTCACAAAAAACCAGTAGATTTCTTATAAGTCTATTGCACTGATAGGTTCTTGTAAACTCATCCCATCAGGCTCTGAACACGAAGAGCGAAAACAAATCAGATCTAGGTTAAACAAAGGTCTAAAGAACGACCGTGAGCAGTGGTGGGCAACGAAAGCAAAAGATGGAAAATGCAGCAGCTGTAGGTAACACAAGACAGCTCTTCAGACTAATAAAAGAAACTGAGATTAAGAAGTCAAGTGTGAGACGATCTTGGAAAAGGACGACACTATTATTTGCTTCCGGTCTAGACGTTCTGGACGATGGGCGGAACACTTTAAGGAGCAGTTCAGCTGGCCTTCAGCTACTCTGCAAGTACCCACCATTTCCGGACAGCGCGAATGTAACACTGAAGTAGGTCCCCCGACTCTAGCTGAAGTTTAAAAGGACACAGCTACTCTGAAACGAGAAAGAGCAGCTGGTCCAAATGGATTGTCTCCAGAGGTCTTTAAGTATGGTGTTCCAATTTTAGCAATTAGGTTGGCTAATATTTTAGCTAAAATCTGGGAGTTGGACGTAATCCCATCTGATTGGTCAAAATGATCATGTGATAAACATAGAGGGATTAGTTTGACTAACATAGCATCTAGAATACTAGCCTCAATAATTATCGGACGCTTAAGACCCGTGAACTGCAAACACGAGAAAATCAGGCTGGCTTCAGACCTGGTCGTGGTTGCATCGACCACATACTCACCATTCGTCAGCTTCTAGAACACAGGCAT